GAAGTGTTCTGCACCTTGATTATCTTGCTTTGTTTGACCTGCTTTCATTCGGCTTTCCCTGACATATCATTGTATAGAGTATCATTGGTTTTCTCATCCCCTTTCATAGCTCTGTCCTCGTTCTTCTTCCATATAGCCAGCTAAAACACGATTCTCCTCACTGTCTTGCATTATAGTTTGGGTAGCTATTTCCTTTTCCCTACCGTCTTCATGAGTAGATACCTCCCCAGGAGGTTGGCTCATTAAAACAGCTCTTTCCTTTCTTGGTTTTGTGTTAATTGATCCATCTTGTTCCTCCATAGTACTTATCTTGCTCTCCTCCACCTCCTTTGCTACAAGGATAGTTCTCTTGGCTTCAACAGCAGCAAGAGAATCAAATTTGGTGTACCCCTCCTGCAGCACCCTCGGGAAGAAGTCATAAAAAAGAAATCCAGGACTCCATCCACAACTGCAGTCACCTTTGTCACATCCCTGCAACTAATTTTTACCCTGATGTATTCTTGCTTTGTCGAGTTCTCCTGATTGACTTCAAGTAGAACCCCCACTTTTGAGACAACCATGCATACCTTCTCGTACGAGACACTTTAATTCTAAACCAAGCTACATCAAGGGGCCCCTTGGAGCTAGTAGCAAAGTTTCATTTTTCAACCTTGAACACCGCATTTATTTGAAATAAGCTATATCCTCAATTGCCTTGGCAGTAGAAAACCTCATTTTATATTTATTTTCTCCTATTTTCTTTGCAAACCATCTCTATGAGGATGTAGGACCAGCTTTGAGTTTAAATTCATTTTGAACCTATTTAGCAGTTGCTACCCTAACCGTGATAGTTCTAAGGGCTGTATTGGACATGTCTTTGATACCAAAATCAGACACAAAACTCTCGATAAAATGAAATCACTGACCATAAGTAGAAAAACCAAAGAAATGGGAGATATATTCCCATGCCATTTTGGTTGTATAAGTGCTCAATACATAACCCTCCTTGTTACATCATCCGATCCACACGTTGGTAGATTGGGACAGACTTAAGAAAAGTGGCTTATCTTTCCACACTTATTGCAAATTCCACTCCGCAAGTTGTTATTGTTTTCCTTTATCTCCTTTTCTTCCTCAAATTGTTCATGTTTGTTTTCTTCTACCTTATTGATGGTCCTGAGAGTAGAATTACTTTTGGCAGATTTAACCTGAAGATGTTGTTGTTAAACATGTTTTTTTGATTGGTTGAAGTATGAATTGCATAGCATAAGGTTGAAGAGGGAACTTGAAGCATTCATATGTTTTTTTTCTTAAGCATATTACCCGAAGAGGAGACATAATTATTCCCATGTCTGATCATAATTGTGACACACATAATTGTATTGATGATAAGAAAATGATAAAAAGGGACTGGTTGAAAAGGATATTTTCTGTTGAACAAGTAAGTTTTATTTGCTAAAATTAATCTTTTATGTTATAAACAATAATTATCAAACTTAAATCCAACCATCATTTTTTGCTGAAATTATTGATCTTCATGCTCTTGGTTTACAGGGGCTTTCTGATGAAGCAAGTGATCAGGGGTGCACACTGATAAATAAAAATCACTAGCTTTTTTATGTGAAGAAGATTTATCTCTCCATGAGAAATTTGATGCATATCTGCAAAAAAGAAGGAAATTTTGATGGAGTGTGTATGAGTCCCACATAGCTCAGCACAATAGTTTTACTTCAGGACGAATAAACAATTAAAAATAATTGGTGTGTGTTTTGATGAGACCCTACGTAAGCTTGGCTTTTCTTGTGCGGGCTATTCAGTGCTAAAATTTTTGTCATCAATGAAGCAAAAAATGAAAAGATTGTTTGGTTTTCAAACATACAAAATGATGATTCGAGGATATGCAATTCATAAAATGCTAGGTGGACATGGATCGCTTGAATGAAATGATTCGTCAAGAAAGTATTCTCTTTGGATATACCACCTCATGAATTAAATGTATGGTTTCTCTCATGATGGAACCAAAATTTGAAGATTTAATGCCAACCCATGTTTCACTCTTAGATGATCTCTATGCGGGAGAAAAACTGATGTCATGGTATGTGTAGAGAGAGAGCAGAATACCTCACGCCCATTAGGGAGGGGTGGCTTTTATATATAGTCACAAGGACATTAATATAGTTACAAAAGGACCCCTAGATATATACATATCTAACACCCCCTTAGTTATAGCGGGAGGCTCACGGATGCATAGACTGAACTAAAAATCAATAAATAATTATACAGGCAGGCCCTTAGTCATGATATCCACAAACTGATGTGAGGACGACACATGCAGAACACAAACTTTACCAAGCGCGACCTTCTCACAAACAAAGTGAATGTCGATCTCCTGGGACGGGGTTTGCTATCATGTAGACAACATTGATGTTGTCACAGAAGACAACCGCGGCGGAGGGTAGTGGTAGATGGAGCTCCTGGGAAAGTTGGTGTAACTAGCGGCACTCGGTGACAGCATGGGCGACGACACGGTACTCTGCTTCAGCACTGGAGCAAGAGACAGTGGTCCGACGCTCAGATGACGAAGACACCAAATTGTCACCGAGGTAGACGCAGTAGCCTGACGTGGAGCGTCGGGAGTCGGGGCACTCCACCTAGTCCACATCGGAGTATGTTGTGAGAGACTGGATAGGACCGGTGCCAATGTGTAGACCAGTAGAAAGAGTGCCCTTGACGTAGCGAAATATGCACTTGACAGGGAGGTGCACCTCTCAGGGCTTGTGCATTAAGAGGCTAGGCCAGGCCGGGGTGGGTGAGAGTAAGGTACTGTAGCACCCCAGCGAGGCTCTGGTACTCGGACAGGTTGGCGACTAGGGCACCATCTATAGCTGAGAGCTTGGACCTGAAGTCCACAGGCGTCATGGTGGGATGACACTCGGACATGCTAGCATGCTGGAGAAGCTCAACACCATACATGCGCTATGAAACGAATAACCCATCAGAGGAGCGTGTGACGAAGATGCTGAGGAAGTGGTGGAGCGTCCCAAGGTCAGTCATAGCAAACTCCAAGCTAAGACGTGCAGTGATGCGACGCAGGAGGTCCAATGTGGAGGTCATAGGATGATGTCGTTAACGTGACGACGTTGCCTCGACATGAAAACGTAGTAACATACAAAAAGATGTTAGTGCCTAGCATGGTACTTTCAATTTGACAACCATGAAAGATAGATAATAGATTTATATGAGTGCTAATATTTATTAACAATTGCGCGTGCATTGGCAAAAACACTCCAAATTGGGAGATTATTGAGAAGCCTCAAACAATCCTTATTATTCATCTTGTCTTCCATACTTTTGGTATATCATTATGTAGTCAATCCTTTTGTCAAGAAATCTACGTAATTTCATAGTTCTATCAACCATCTTTTTTTTCAGTTGCTCATTGAATAACACATGTTTTTCTTTCTTGATGATACCTTTTCAGATCAATTGGGACAGGAGTTTTTTTCTCGATCAAGCAAACGACTTGCGCCTATTTGTATTAAGTAGGTAGAAATTTGAATACAAGTTTGGGGCAGGCTTATAGATTTTCAATGATATTATGCCCTCCCCGTTGTTACAAGCGGCTAGCCTACTACTCGCTGTAAAAGACAACCTAGGCTCTTTGCGCCAGCTTGCACCACTTGCTACCGGAGTATTAATTGTTGTTGAAGATTCTTTCCATTCTGGTTGCCAACGATAAACCCAATGCCAACAAGGTCCAGAGCTTTTTGATGTCCCGGCGTGTGGTTTAATTGTACAAGCGAAATGGACTATATAGTTGTTCACTTGTTCATCAGTAGGTAGTAACACTTATGTAACTTGTATACATATTTGCTGAACGAATGAATGATCCTAACACTAAATTACACTCTGGGTGATCGACCTCGTAACCACCAACTATAGCATTTTTGTGGCCTAATTGTAAGCGAAATGACCTATATATACTATGAAGTTAGAATAGTTGTTAAGCAGTAGTACTTCTCCGACTTTTGAAATTACACGTTACAATGCAAACGCTCATAACCTATGTGCACTCGTCCCTACGAATAAACGCACGCAAACCCATACTTCTCTGACTTGTATATATATTTGGCTAATGATTGAAAGAATCTGACACTACACTCTTAAGTTATTTTCGCATGTCCCTTTTATAGTTGAAGTATGATTCCAAGTTATTGTGACTTGTTCTTACACTCCGAAGAGCAACGCATTCAGGTCTCAGTCAAGCAACAGTCTCCACATCATGTTCCTGCATCAGTGTATCTTGTCATGATGTCATTTTATCTTGTTTTATTTTCTATCGCAATCTGGTCCTTGTACGCATATGCATTGTGTCGGTATTCTAATTTCTGGAGCATATAATTAGATAGTTATTAGGTGTTGGTCCTGCCAAACTTTGTCAAATGTGTAGCTAAAAATTTGTTCGCCATGTGTTGCCAAAATTTGCTGAAGTTTGAGGAAATCTAGACTTCGACTGTTATAGTTCAATCAACACCCTGTGCGTTTCTCTTATAATCCGTATTTTTCAGCTTGTTTTTTTAGTTGGAACAATATTTTTCTCTCACAACAAATCAGCTAGAACAGTATTTCGATTTTTTTTTTCAGCGAAGCGAACGGACCCGAGAGGGATAAAATACTTTTTTCCAAAGAAGAAACAAGCTAATGCGAAGTTGAAGCTGTAATTAGATGGTCCAAATCCGCGGCCCGCGGGCCACTAATCAGAAAGCAGCTCAAAAGGCCCATTGTTTTTCCGTGAATGAATGAAATGAATAAAAATAAAAACTGACGAACCCAGCAGGCCACCACCGTCGCCGCCGGTATCCTTCCGCCTCCGCCCCGCTGCGGCGGTCACTCTGCTTACACACCACGCCAAGCCGCCCGCTAAAAGCGTCGCCGCGAAAAATTCCCAAACTCCTTCACCTCCCCTCCCGCCCAAAACCCTAACCCCCCACAGCCACCGCCTCCGCGCGCGCCCGCTGGCCATGGGGGCGCCGCGCGAGCTCGAGCTCTCCGACGAGGTGGAGGGCGAGGAGGACGGCACCGACGACTTCGTATTCCGCCTCGCCGGCGACCCCATCCCGCTACTCCCGACCGACTCCAACCCGCTCCCGCTCTTCGACCTGCTGTCCCCTCCCGCGCGCCCGCTCGCCGTCTCCGACCGCCACGCCACCGTCTTCCTCGCCCACCCCAGCGGTATCACCGAGCCGAATGCTTACTCCGCTCGGCATTCCCGTCTCGATCTCACCGCCTAACTAGGGCGGCTTCTCATTCGGTTTACAGGGTTTCTAGCTGTGAGGACGAAGGAGTTGATCGAAGCTAGCAAGGAGGCGCGCGAGAAGGGCAAGGCGAGCACCCGCTGCGCGCAGGACTGCTGCGTCGCCGAGGTGCCCCTCTCCGGTGTATCCCTCATCGCGCTCTCCCATGATGAGTCCGTGTTAGCAGCCTGCACGGATACTGAGATCCAGTTCTTCTCGTTGGCGTCTCTGCTCACACATAAGGTTATCAGTTTTTCTCAGGGTCTCTGCAAAATTTGTGCATGCTGGATTTCTATATAGTCTAGTGCAGTAGTACGTGAAATGAGAAGACTAGTTTCGCCGAGACTGATTAATTCAGTTTCTTCACAAACTTGAATGACTTTTTCATGTAAGAGCACTATAGTCAGTAATGGACTAGGGGCATATCCATGTATGCTTCTCTCTTAGTAGTAGGACTTGTGGGAGTTCAGCATTGGTTACTCCTTTCGCGCTGTTGCATAAGGCCTGCATTGTGCTGTTTGTTGATCTGGTCTGTTTTCAGTGCCATTAGCTTGTTCACAAGCTTCTGTTAGAGAAGGTGTTATGGTTTTTGTCAAGATTATAACATTTCTTAACAATTGTGCTGCACAGGATGTGGTACCATCCTCATCATGTAGCCTGGGACAAGCTGGCACTGTGAAAGATTTCAAGTGGTTAAATCATGCCTCTGCAGCATATATTGTACTCTCAAATGGTGGGTTGCTGTGTCATGGGAGTTTGGGCGAAGGCCTGAAGGATGTGATGGAAAACGTCGATGCAGGTCCATGTCTTTTCCAAATATTATTCCTACTGCATTTGAATTTGAGGCACATATCATGAACTGCTGCTATGACATTCTTAGTGTGTGAGATATGTCATGTACTTCACTAGAGAAACTAATTAATTCCACTTAATTCAGTGGTATGAATGATGCTTTGGTGTTTACTGGTGAGAATGTTCATTGTTCTATGATGATTCTGTAGTTTCCAAATGTTATAGCATAGATGATACAGGCAAATGAAAACATGTCCATTACTTACATGCTACAAGTTTCAAAATAAAGGAAATTGCAGTCACAACCAATAGAGTAATCTCGTGATCTATTTTCTCTAATGGCTACTCTTAACAACATCTCAACAACAACAACAAATCCTTTACCTTAACAAGGCTGACTACATTAAATTTATCAGAGGTCTGTACAAGTGCATCAATAGTAATGCAAAATATTATATTTATCTTCAGATGCATTGTTTACTCTGAGGTCTTTATGCATTCTGCTTTGGGGCATTGGGTCTGTTCGTTGCATTTTTAAGCCGCTGCAGCTACCTGTAGATATTTTCTCCTGTGCTAAGTACTATTGTATCACCTGAAAGCTTACAGCCACAGTGGCTTGAAGTCATAGCGAACAGACCCATTAGTTTTTTTTTTTTTTTTTTTTTGCAAAGTTAGTTCTTTGCTAACCATCGCTGATGCAATGTTGTAACTGAAGTTAACCATCACTGTCTTGGTTCTCAAACTGAAGTAAGCTATCTTTTTGAAATGTATATAGTTGATTGTTGCAAGGAAGGAAATCATATTGCCGTTGCAAGAGGGAACAAACTTACCATATTATCACCAGATTTTAAGGAAACATGCTCCATGTCCCTCTTGTTCCAGTTGTGGTCTGATGAAAGTGATTCAGAGGGCACTGCCATCAAAGGTAACCAACTAACCATACACCTTTCTCTTGTGTAGTCTATATTACAATCCCTAGATACAGAATGAAATGCTCTAATTTTAATCTTATTGTTGTTTTTGTTCATATTTTTTTTCTTCATGGCCTACCCCAGCTTGGCAGCTTGCTAGGGACTAAGGCTTTTTTGTTCTATATTTTTCATCAGTCATGTAAGGCTGTCAGTTGATCGAGATGGTCCACTAGTTAGTTGAAACACTAGTAAAATGGAGGTGATCATCACCATATACTATAGTTGATCCTTCTCTATCAAAAAACAGCACCGTGCTTACACTGAGTCACTGATATGTAAAGTTGATTTGTGGTCTATGGTAGATGAAGCTGATAGGTTTGGTTCTCATCAGGCCCTGAATTCACGAGTATCACGTGTTTCTTACATGTTTTTACCCTTTGACCAATTGTTTTTACCCTTTGATCAATTCACGAGTATCACGAGTTGGAACAAATTTATGAATCACAGGGGAAAAAACTAGTTGTTGACTTGCTGTACCTTAGTCATCCTGTACAATTATATATTGAAGAACCAATGATAATGATAAAATTGATAGCCCCTTAGGAAACTGTGAGATATCTTGTCATCCAGAACCCTTAGGAAAGTGTTGTTTTTTGACATTTGCTCCATAAACATTGAGATGTATAGAACTATACATTGGACATAGAGTCATCCGTTCGTTTTGTATGTTACTGGTTTACTTGCAGCTGAAATTGCATTTAGTATGTACTTTTATTGTTCATTATTGATGATTTTCTATTTGCGAGCAGTGGATTCCATTGGCTGGGTACATGGTGATAGTATTGTTATTGGGTGTGTTCGATTAAATGAAGATGACAATGAAGAAGGCTATCTTGTTCAAGTTATAAGGACTGAAGAAAGCACATTTTGTGAGGTTAGTTGGTCCTCTAGACTTTTTTTTCTGTTGTCGGATACTCGGATTCATATCACATGCGATGTGCTATTTAGCCAAAGTTTCATTTTCATATATTTTTAGCAACATGCTTGTATAAAGTTGCTTCAATAGCTAGAGATATCTCTTTGGGCACATAGGCAAAGTTTCATTTGCATATATTTTTAGGAACATGTGTGTATAAAGTTGCTTCAATAGCTACATATATCTCTCTGGGCATAGTTAGGCCATGACCACAGCAAATGGCAAATCATGTTTCAAGGATATAATCTGAATGTTTACCAAGATCATGTTCTTGGTTGGGATTTATGCAAGTTAAAATTGTGTCTATGTTTTTGTCTTAATATCCAAGATGTATAGCCGTCCATTGCATTCATACGAAACTCTCGGATGACAAAAAATAAATCCTAAAATTGGTTTATTGTCATATCATTTATTGGCAAGGGTTAATAAAACATATTTATGTAATTTTTGCGTTAACAAATATGAAATATTACAGCACTAATTGGTTGAACTGAATGTGTTACTTTTGCAATGTGCTTATAGAGCCCAGGCAAGCCAGATGTTTATACCTATGTCGATTTTTTCCATGGCATTATGGATGATGTTTTACCATCCGGAGTTGGACCTAATCTGCTTTTGGGTTATCTGCATCGCTGGTATGTGAACCTAAGCCTTTGAGAAGCTCTATTGAGTATTCTCAACATGTATGTTGGCTGGTTATTGGACAGATTTTATGAGTACTGAAATGGAAAATAAATTTTCTGCATGGATTTCACCAAAAATCTTCCGAGAAGGAAATCCTTAATCCATCAACTAACCTGATTTAAAATACGGCACTGTACACAGTTACTAGTCATGCTATAGGTCCCATTTGTTAAATTGTGCCCCCCACCCCCCCCGCGCGCGCGGTTAGCAGTCCAGGTTCGATAGCTAGCAAAAACTTCTTAAACAAAATCAGGGGGACATCTCCCCCAGGTCTCGTGTTTTTTGATAGTTCCCATTTACCACTTGATTTGTAATCAAGGGAGTATATAGTGACTTAGTGAGTATTTTCCAGGCACTACCCCTATAGCAATACATATGATACAGGATGGCACAAACCAGTTAATTGTATGCGTCAACAAGGTAGTAACCATGTGTATTTTGTCTTCTCTTACCTTGTTTGCTTGCTAGGTTCTCTTACGGTCTTACCATGCAATGGGGGCCTTTTATATGGAACTTAGGATAACAATCTATTAGTCTTTTATTTATTCTTCTGCTGGTGTTGCTTTGTTGGTTTTCAATATTACTACTCCCTCTGTTCCAAATTATAAGACGTTTTGACTTTTCTAGATACATTGCTTTTACTATGTATCTAGACATAGTGTATATCTAAATACATAGCAAAAGCTATCGAATCTAGAAAAGCCAAAGTATCTTATAATTTGAAATTGAGGGATTACATTAGATAAAAAGAGGGATACGGTCAGGTGAGGTCCACCCCTTTTTGCTAGCCCGTCTGCTGTCCACGGTGATATTTATTTGCTTGCTATTGCATTTCTCTTCTCCGGTGGGAACTTTTAAGTGGGGATTTTTTTTAAAATATTTTTTAGGGATCTCATGGTGGCTTCCAATAAAAAGAGCATTGAAGACCACATTGCCCTTCTGAAGTGGCCATCCGCACATGATGATGAAAAAGCTGTAACATATCTTGAAATGTTGGAGGATAAATACAGTCCTAGGATTGACTTGCAAGGTAAATCCTATCCCAGGAAACATCGCTTTTATGATATGCTGTTGCTTCTCTTCGAAAATGAAGTCTAAACAGTTAAGTCTTCTTTTGTGATTTTTCAGAGAATGGCGATGACAACGTCATACTAGGGTTTGGTGTTGAGAATGTTTCATTATTTCAAAAGATCACTGTAACAGTTGGACCTGAACAAAAGGAGGTTGCCCCTCAACATATTCTACTCTGTTTGACTGGTGAAGGCAAACTAGCTGTATATTACCTCGCCAGGTAAATGTTGTTTGTTGATACTTGTCAGCATAATATTGTGAAAATTTGGTCACTTTAGCTACTTTAACTTCTAAATAGTAAATACTGAACTTTTGTTGGAGAAACATTTTTGTATTGACACTGTATATTGTTTAGGATTTCGGACCCTTCTGATTTACCTCATGCTACTGTGTCTACCAATGAGGACTATGGTGAAAAACATATTTCACCTGCAACTGTATCTGAAAAGGAGCTGACTCCAAGTGTTACAGGCTCGGTATCTAAGAGTACTCTCACTGAACATGGTGCTGAGGCCTCTAGTGCACAAACAGGTAAAAGGATGCTAGCCAAGAGCTTCTAAGTTTCACTTTGATGAGCTATCTTTTTGTTTCTCCAAGTGCTTTCGAAAACTGAAGTACCCTTATGTTATATCCTTGCAGGTAGCAACCAGCAGGAATCAATGAATGTGAAAAACAGTAGCTCAGCTTCAAAAGAACAGGAAACAACTGGCAATTCGTTGCTTATCTCTTCCAATAAGAAGCCCATAGACACCAGGCAACTGAATGTGACTGCTCCACCTGCAGCCTTGCCTAGCTTAGAATTAACAGGAAACACAAGACCTACAATATCTTCCAGCTTTTCTACTGTCAATAATGAAGGCATGAATCCAACAGGAGGCAATGCACCTAATGGATTAGCTCCTTCCTTGCAACCAGGCAGCAGAAGTTTTGGAAACAGCCAAACTGGTAAAGAAGGTCTGGATTCAGCTCAATCAGTGGGAATATTTGGTGGATCTCAAAACTCCAATAAAGATGGTGATGTCTATGGTTTCAAGTCTTCAGTGTTCACCTCTAGTGGATCTGTCCCTGCCAAGATCAGAGAAAGGAATGAGGTTGGTTTTGGAGTTCCTTCACCGCAAACCAGCTACACCGCTGATAGAAAAGTTTTTGGTGCTCCAGTTGCCTTAAGTTCTGTACCTTCACCGTCGATATCTCCAGCTAAACCTGCCCCAATTGGATCTTCATCAAGTGGATTTCGGACAGGAAACTCTGAAGCTCCTCAATCATTGCGTGGATCATCTCCGTCACAGCAATCTATGGGCAAATCACATAACAGCAGGACACAAGCACCAGCAGACTATTCTAGAAACTCCAAGATGGGCACAAGATTTGATTCTGAACAAGACTTATCTAAAAAGTTTTATAGTGTAAGATAGCGGAACATGTTTAATTATTATATTAATTTTTCTACCTTTATTTACTTTCCTCAGACCTCTAGGAAATACTATCATCAATGCAAAGAACTTTTAAGTAATATAAGTGCACATCTTATTTGTTGCCTCATGGAGCATCACCTACATACTTATATACTTTGGCATCTTCTTGTCCCCTTCGTTACAGATAAATGAAATGACGAAGGAGTTAGATGCCCTACTAGCATATATAGAAAAGGATGGTGGTTTCAGAGATGCCTGCATAACCTTCCAGCAGCGTCCTCTTTCTATGTTTGAGGATGGCTTGCAAAACTTTTTGGAGTTGTTGCAGGTCTTCAAGGTATATCATAATTGCGAGCGCCCCCCAACTCTTCCTCCCTCAACTGTCTGTCTGTGGTGCTGTCCAGTCCTCTCTTATAAAAACTTTACTAAATGTATATGCAGGGCAAAGTAGAGGAACAATGTTCAAAAATTGAAGATCTGAGGAACAAGATGTTTCAAGGTGAGACATTCATATGTTCTTTTGGCTCGCTTTTAGTAAGTAGGTAGAACAGGGTACACCCCCCCTTTTTTTGCTTCCTTACATACCTGAAAGAAATTATTTGATCAAAATGATATGCTTTTGCAGGATAAATACTTCATGTCATTTTTGCCACTGTTTGTAATGTATATAATCAGGAAAAACACATATGCAATTATGCATACCAACATGGTCTGGACATAATTTTGAAGAAACACAAGTGATTATTCTTGATTAATAGCTATGTTTAATTTGCTTTATTGGATCACTTACAAATGAATGAAGCCACCAGAAAACTTGGGCTGATATGTTACATATTTTTTGTTCTCTTCAGTTTCTGCTAGGCAAACTTACATGAAAGGAATTGTTAGCCAGTCTTCAGATAATCAGTACTGGGATATATGGAACCGTCAGAAATTGAGTCCAGAATTCGAAGTGAAGAGACAAAATATTCTCAAAGCTAACCAGGTATCAGTATCTGACATTCTGACTAACTTCATTTGTTTGTATGACATCGGAGGAGAATAATAAGTCCTTTACTCCTTTGTCATACAGAATTTGACAAATCAGTTGGTCGAGCTGGAGAGGCACTTCAATAATCTGGAGATGAACAGATCCAGTGAAACAGGAAGAGTGGCTTCTAATCGAAGAGCTGTTTATTCTAATAAGGCAAGGTCAAGGTATTTAACTGTTAGACCATCTTGCTACAAATTTCATATACATTTAGTGATTATCATCAATTGGATGACAAACAACCGAACAAGTGGCCTTTTTATGCTCTGCTCCTTTCAAAGCGACTATGTAGCTCATAAATGCATGTAATCTTTCACTTTAATGTTTGTTCTCATTAGAATATTTTGATGAAAATACTCTTTTGCTTTGTATTTTTTTTTGTTTGTAATAACAAATTCAAATTCTCTGCACATTGTATGGCTAGCATCATTCATATCGATTAAGCTATATAGTATGCTTTGCTATTTTTTAGATACCCTTTCTGGATAATAACTAAGTTCGTCGTGTATGTAGTTCTATTTCTCAGTGCTATTCTCTATATTTCAATAGTATGTGTGTTTTGTTTTACCTTTTCTTTTGTGGATCTTTTCATGAATACGATGATTTTTAACATATTCTCGCTTTTATTTTTTCAGTCAGACACAATTATCCAGTGTATATAATGCACTGAACTCGCAGTTGGCAGCTGCTGAGCAGCTATCTGAATGCCTTTCAAAGCAGATATCTGTGTTAAATATTGGTTCTCCTACTAGGAAGCAGGGGGCGGTGACCAAAGAGTTGTTTGAGTCAATTGGTTTAGCCCACACAACTGATGCAACCAAATTTTCAGGCAGCACTCCTAAGCCAGTTAAGCGGTTTCCATCAGTGAATGAGCATTCAAAGGGAATATTAGGGCCTTCCAAGAGTGGTGAGCCTGAGACCGCTCGAAGGAGGAGAGAATCACTGGATATGGTAAGTTATTGAGCCTGAGACCCAGAACATCGCATTTTCTCATGTAACATCACATGACTTGGAAAGAAGATGTGGGTCTTTGTTTTCTATTACATACTCGCTCCGTTCCAAATTATAAGACATTTTGCCTTTTCTAGATATATTGTTTTTTTTTTCTATATATCTAGACATAGTGTACATCTAGGTGCATAGCAAAAACTACGTATCTAGAAAAACCGAAACGTCTTATAATTCGGAACGGAGGGAGTATTGTTCTTCATGTGGTGGATAAGCAATAAATCTGACTACAAATTATTTGTCAATTTTTTAGAGCCTGGCTAGTTTGGAACCTCAGAAAACAACTGTTAAAAGAATAGCACAGCAACAACGCCTCAAAATCAGCAGTGATCTACCATTCAGGTCAAACAAGAAAATTTTTGATTCTCAAATGGCAGCAATATCACAGGAAAAGTCAAGCAATAGCTCCAATTCATCTATAGTAGAATCATATGTAAGCAGACTGCATTCTCTGAGTGAAGGTAAGTTTTTACAAGCCTTAGACATCAATTTTCTGGGGTTTCTATTAAGATCACGAAGATTCTTATTATATCATCAGTCTTTGTAATTCTTAACTTGGAACATTTTCTGACAGTTTCAGATGTAAAAGAAAAACCCTCAGGACCCCAACAGAACCCTTTGTTCAAATGGGTAAAGGAATCAACTGGGTCATCTCAAATCTCAGAGCAAAAGCATTTTGAGTTACCAGGGCAAATGAAAAGCACTGCACAATCTTCAAAACTGACACCATCTTCACCACCATCATTCAGTTACACCCGAATGGGTGCACAAGATAGTATCAACCCATCCAGTGTGCCATCGTTTGGAACAAAACATACTGTGTCTAAGCCAAATACTTTAACCTTCAAAACCACTATAACCCCTAAAAGTAATGCCAAGACAGAGCCAAATATATTACCTTCCATAACAGCTGCAAAAACTTCTCAGAGTCCACTGTCTGTGAAAACTACTGGGGAGTCTAGAGATTTGCCTACATTAACTATGAAGAACAGACAGGATAGTCAGTCAATGCCATCTTTGGGGAACATAAAAGGACCGGGTGCTTCTCTGCAGAACAAGGGTGGCATATTTACAGATCTTGGCAAATCGTCTTTTACTTCTGAGCATTCCAAGCCTGCTGTATTACATGAGAAGACTGGCCAGCTTAGTGGGGTTGGCGATGCTGTGCAGAACACTGTGAAAGATACCCCCAAGATGGCACCTCAACCTTCTGCATTCTCGCCAGCTCCTGTTACTCAGACTGATTCATACTCCTTAAGGTCGACTGTTTCCTCTTCAGCCACATCAGCCTCATCAGGTGCGAAAACTTCGGATGTTTTATCTAGCTCAATGCAGAAAGTTTCTCCAATAGTACCCGGGGGTACTGTGTCTAGCTCAATCCCTACTCCTGCTAAGGATTCGTCAACTGGCTTGAGTCAAAATGCTTCCAAACCTGAAACGCTAAAATCAGATGTAACTAGTACCATAGCTTCTGCAAGTTCGACTTCAGTCATATCGACCACTGAAAGCAAACCTTCAGTGCCTCCAACAACTGGCGCCAGCTTGCCTTCTGCTCATGTCTCTGCTCCTAAAACAGCACCAACAACATCAGAATCAGTTGTCACTTCCACAGGAAAAGATGTAGGACCAAACACTGACACCATCGCAACCGATGAAGATGATATGGAAGAGGAGGCGCCTTCTGCAAGTGCCGAACTCAACTTGGGAGCCCTTGGTGGATTCAGCCTCGGGTCCCAGCCTTCTTCAAGTCCTCAAAAGTCTAATCCTTTTGGTGCCTCCTGTGGTACATCTGACAATAAAAGTTCAGGCACACCATTTACTTTGACAACCAGTCCAGGACAGCTTTTCCGACCAGCGTCACTAAGCATTCCTTCAGCTCAGCCAGCCCAACCATCTCAATCAACTAGTTCTAGTTCTTTTTCTAGTACGTTCTCAAGTGGGCTTACTGGATTTGGACAGCCTGCACAAATTGGATCTGGCCAGCAGTCAGCATTTGGGAAGCCTGCACAGATTGGAGCTGGTCAGCAGGCAGGATTTGGGCAGACAGCACAAATTCAATCTGGGTTTGGTCAGCCTGCACAAATTCAATCTGGTTTTGGTCAGTCAGCACAAATTGGATCTGGGCAACAGTCAGGATTTGGGCAGCCTGCACAAATTGGGGCTGTCCAGTCAGGATTTGGGCAGCCTGCACAGTTTGGTGCTCAACAGGCACTTGGATCAGTGCTGGGTTCTTTTGGACAATCGCGCCAGTTAGGAGGCATAGGTTCTGGAGGATTTGGTGGATTTGCTAGTGCTTCTACATCTGGGGGTTTTGGTTCTTTATCTTCAAGTAATGCTGGATTTGCTGGTGCTGCATCAGGTGGGGGCTTTTCAGCACCCGCTGCTTCTGCAGGTGGTGGTTTTGCTGCTGCTGCTACTGGTGGAGGTTTTGCTGCTCTTGCCTCCAAAAGTGGTGGTTTTGCTGGTGCAGCTTCATCTGGTGGTGGTTTTGGAGGTGCCGCCCAGGGAGGTGGCTTTGGCACTGGTGAGATCTCTGAAGTTGTGTTCTGTTTTGAACAAATACTTACGTTGGGAGGGAAGTTGTGGATAAATGCTAATGTGTGACAGCGCAGATCGCTTATGGTTTGCATAAGTGTTTAATTAATCATCCAACATTCCAACCTGTGGTCATCATTTTAAAGTTTTGCTAGTTGCTGGCAGTTAAATACACCTAGATTGATTTTATTGTTTGGTTAACTATTGGTATTTGGAGTTGGAACTGCTAGGTTGCATTTATCATTTCTTCTAGATAGAAGATGCTAGCATATAATGCATAGGCTCCGTTAGGCCTACAAAAAAAAAATTATGTTCTCCCTTGTCAGCAATTATCACTGATCAGTTTCTAATAGGTTTACTCATTTCGGCTGTCCTGAAAAAGCCTATATAAAGTATTTAATCTTGAGCTTTAGGAATACTATATATTGATTTTAAGTCCCACAGACAATTTTTTCAAGCAGTAATCCATAAACCCATTTCAATCAGTTTGTAGTCTTAAATGTTAAGTGTACTAATTATTGATCAATCTGCATTACCATCAGCTGAGACATGCTCTAACTCAAATAGTCAGATATTAGGTTTGTTGTCTGCAAGTACTTGTCATGTCAGATACTCCATCTATTCCAAATTATAAGTTGTTTTCTAGGTACATAGCCTTTGCTATCTCGGTGCAAAGCACCGAAAGAATTAATTTACAGTGATAAATTTATCTGTTTTGTCTGGTGCCAGCAGCCTGTTTTGGCAACTAACAGAATTTGGATGGTTTGAAGGTGGTGGATTCGGATCCTTCGGTGGTAATCAAGGAGCTGGGTTCTCGGCATTTGGAGCAAGCGGAACTGGAAGACCGCCAGCTGATTTCTTGACACAGGTGCGAAAGTAGGCTCCAGGCAAATCCCCAGACAAGTTTATGCATTAGCTATGGCTAGATGCAAGAGGCCTCGGAGATAAGTTCAATTGTGATGTCACAAAGTTACGTTTATGTTCCACTCTTCACCTGTATAGACTTGTTAGGCAGGCCTGCCCGTGTATCCCTTGAGCGTTGCAGGCACAGCCATCAGAGCTTGAGGCCTTAGCTTGAAAAAGTGTGGAAACCTTCCTCCTAGGCGGAGCTGTTGCAGACACGATGCCCTGGATGAGGCCCTCGCTTCGCTCCATCAATTGATGATGGAGGCTACGATTTGGGCACCTTATTGTTTTCTCTTCTTTTGCAAAACACAGTAGAGATGCCCATAGCATCGACGGTTGGTCTTGGATTCCTTCGGGTTTCTCTCCAGGGCTACCAACTTGCTAAGCTCAGGCTCCATGGCTGCATGAAATGAAAAGAGGTCGTGTAAAGGCCCTTGCTTGAACGTGATTCCTCCTCCAGCTTTGTCAATACAATTCCCGGCCTCTTTCCCATATTCCCTGTCACGAGCCCGCCCGCCCGCGCAGCGCAGCTAAGATGAAACCGCCACCACACCAAGAGGCAAGAGCTAGCGGCAGCTTGCTGCAATTTGCAAAGACATGGAGAAAGGGATCGAGAGAAACAAGAGCATATGATACCCAAACGCTTAAACAAGTAATCCACTGCATGCATATGCTCAACGGCGGCATCAATCAAACTGTAGGCGAACGAACCCCCAGCTAATGCCCGGGGAATATATACTACGTGGTCTCGATCGGTTTCTTCTTATGTTCATCGGCCGGCCGGTCATCTTTGCTGACAACTCATCGGAGCCAATGCTCAGGGAATCATGTAGTCCGCAGCTATTTGGAAACGGAACATATGCAACGCACACGTGCCTCGACCTCGCTTCAATCCAATTCAATTCCTCAACAGTGAAGTACAGGCATGGTATAGATACCATATATATCGATCGATCATCACTCAGGGTCAGGGGCCGGCCTCGTTGCTTATCGTAGTATTTAGTGTGTGTGTGTGTCTATATATATATATATATATATATATATATATATATATATATATATATATATATATATATATATATATATATATATATATATATATATATATATATATAAGTGCTGCCCGTACCCTGGTGGTGGCTATATATATCACTTGGTTATTAGTCGCAAGGATTATTCCCTTACCAACTTATTCCAAGAGAGCACATCTATTCTTGCTCCTTGTCAAGCTTTTCCAGTACTTGAATTGAATGCAGTGATGCAATGACCTGGTGGCGTGGGTTATCGTGTTATTGGTGCACGTATCGCCTCCATAACTTCTTCACACCTGAAGCAACAGTATCAGTATATACAAGTGAACACACATCGCTATCTTACTTCCTCTGTCGCAGATTATAAGTCTGTTTTAGTTTTGCCCAAGTTTGAGGAAAAAAGTTAGCACCTACAATACCAAATAAATGCAAAATATATTTGATGGTGTATCTATTTGATCTTATCCGATATCGTAGATGTCTGTTGATTTTTCTCCCATAAACTTAGTTAAAATTAGAGAAGTTTGACTTATAACAAAGCTAAAACAACTTATAATTTGAAAGCTACAAAATGAGCCCAACAGAAGACCCCAAAAAAAATCTCTAAAAAAAAAATAAAAGAACAAAGAAGCAAAATTAAATAGTAACAATAAACAGGCCACCTTTTATTATTATCAGGATAGAAACCGGTCACTCTGCTCCGAGAAACATCAGAGCCTAGAGATGCTGCAGCTGCAACTAACCCTTTTCCTTTTTCTTCTTCATTCACATGCGTGCCCTGGCCAAGGAGATAAGAAATTACGCTGATGCAATCATGCGTGCTCACGACGTATGCATCATAACTAGATAGCTATGTGGGACACACAACCATCTGGAAGGCAAAGGCCAAAGGCCAAAGGCCAAAGGCCAGAGGCCATGCCCATGCAGTTACTCATGTAAGAAGAAGCATCTCTACTCTCTGCACGGAGGACAAATCATGGTCAGAACAAGTGCAAGCATAAAGCAAAAGAAGGATGCAGGGCAATCCAAGAACCAGGGCTCCATTTTAAGCTCGCTTTTATGTGCCCTATGTAGAACAGTGAAGTTACGGCACCGGCTTCAAAGTTCACACGGATACAGCCTATGCCATTGCCTTACCATCCCTTTGGCCTGGCTGCCTAGTAGCTAAGCTAAACAGGTGCCAAACTTACCAAAGGAGACAAAGGGGAATTCTATGCTTATTCTGTTATTCCATTCGTTGCCTTTGTGCAGTCCCAAGAAGGCATCAAAGAGTTATACAATGGCCACCTTCGCTTTATCTCTATGCAAAGCTTTGTGCAATTCTTCTTCCGGATGCCTGCAGTCAAAAGAAGGAAGTTTCAAGCTTTGTCCACATAACCGATATTCTTAGGCCGCCGTACTGTGTCCCTCCCTTGCTTCTGAATGCATACAGCCCAACAGTGTAAGAGGATGAAACAATATAACTCATGTGATCACGGACCGCAATGGATCCTAACAACAACTGATCGACCGCCAATGCTGTCCGCCCTTTCATTTCAGCAAACTGGAGGCCAGAAACTCAGTGGAGACTGGAATTGGTTCTCAAACTAAGAAATCATTGAGGAATCTGAGAGAGGAGGCTGGCAAGTTCTACGACATCAGATTGCAGACCACAGCCCCCAAAAGGTTCTCATGAGAATAAGGTGCTCCATTCCCTCTAGTTTTTCAAAAGAAAAGAAAAGAGGAGAAAAGATTGTGCTTCGCTTTCGCCCTTCTCATGTGGCAAGTAATTTCAACCAAAAGCTGGTACAAGTGTTTATGATCAGAACACAATGCAAGAGCTAGAGAGGGTTGCTGGAATTGACAAAGAAAAAGACTGGTGGGCGTAGGGTCCACGGGTACCCCAGGGGAATAAGGATAATATCTCTTTTCAGTTGCTGCAAAGATTGGGCAGTCAGGGTTGAGTGCTTCTTCAGATGATTCGACATTCTCCCTCTGCCTTATAAGACGGGACTCTGCGTAAGATCTCGGCAAGAGGAGAGGAGAGGGGAGGAGAGGATAGGAGGTAGGTAGTTTAGTTTGAGAAGCCAAAGGTTGTCTCACTCCCAGAAGACCGCACAACAACTATTTTGGTTACTAGAAATAGAGGCACTGAGGCTGAACACCGGTAAAGCTGCCAAGGATCCCAGCAGTCAGGAATGTGCAGCCTGTAAGCAGACATTTCAGTACATAACAGGAACTGAACAGGTGAGATGTGCTTCTACTCTTTTGTTTACATGACTGAAGGAAGGCATTACCTAGGATGTATTCCGAGTAAGAAACATACTGACATGGAGTTCTTGGTGACAGATGTATCATCAGCAACAGCTCCACAACCATAACCAGCACCTGTCCTCAAGCCCGGGTTTACCTCCTGAGAAGCAGTTTCTCCTGGAAGGAGGAGATGCAGGACTCGTCCTCTCCACCGATGCTAAGCCTAGATTGAAATGGACACCAGAGCTGCATGAACGTTTTGTGGAGGCAGTACATCAGCTAGGAGGGCCAGACAGTGAGTATACATGTGATCAAAACTTATATCTGTCACTCGTACACGGCACATGGCAGGAAGACTGAATTAACACAATGATGGTACCTTCTATACTCCGCATGTGGAACTCTTGCAGAAGCTACGCCAAAAACAATCATGAGGCTGATGGGAATCCCTGGACTCACCCTGTACCATCTTAAGAGCCATCTCCAGGTACATCTTGAGTTCTCTGCTACTGCTGTATGGCATGAAAAAATTGGCTTGCCGTCACCATCACAAACTAAGGTAGATGCTTTTCTGTTTCTCATAGAAATACAGACTCAGCAAGAATCTCCAGGCCCAAGCTAATGCTGTCAACGCAAAGAATGGTAGGCTACTACATGCTTCTTAAACCTGAAGTAACTAAAATCCCAACCGTCCAATGGTGGAGATACTAAACTTGCCTTTGTTTCGCAGTGTTAAGCTGCAGGACAGGAACAGACAACCCATGCGAAGGGAGCGGATCACCACCACCACACTTGAACCTAGAGCCCCAGATAAACAGGTGAGAAGCGAGTAAAAATTGTTAATTGCAAACATTCTCCTCCAACTTTCAGAAGCTGACATAATTCAGAAATTTATCAGGTCAATGCACATTGAAGCCCTCCAGATCCAGATCGAAGTTCAGAGACGGCTTCATGAACAGCTAGAGGTATATAATCAACTCTGTAATTTAATTAAAATCTATTGCATACCCTGCCTAACTCAGTGTCTCCATATTATAAACATATGGAAGTTGCTATATTTGAGTTGCCTGAATTTCCAGGCAACCAACTAATACAATTAAAAGGACAAGACAATTCACATTTTTTTTTCTTGCGTTCAAAAAAAAAATTCACATTTTTTTCTACATAGTTAAACAATAACAAAATTATATGTCGTTGAACAACAACAACAAAATCAGAAGAGAAGTGTGAACGTATAAGCAATGCAAAAGCAATACTTGTGTAGCGTCAGGAACACTGGTAGCTATTAGTGTCAGGAACACTAATAGCTTCCGGTCGTGCAAAATTACAACTGCAGGCGAAAATAAAAAATGAGAACACTTTGTAAAAATGCTCCCATGTCAAAATCTTTAACTAACATAATACTACTCCTTCCATAGTAGAAAAAAAAGACCTCAATGATTTAGTCCAAGTCAAACTATCATAAGTTTGACTGATTTCATAGAGAAAATTAGCAACATTTATGACACTAAATAGTTATACTAGGAAACTATATTAGAGAGCTTAACAAGAAATGCTACACGCAAAAGAGAGCATTAGAGGCTAGAGCCCCATGGGCGTCGAATTCTCACCAGCCAAGGAAAGAAATGGAAGAGCTAAAAGAAAGTAAAAGGGCATGACAAGCCCTCTGGTCGAATCGCGATACCTCAGCCTCCACAGAGTATAGTGCTGTGAGCTGGCCACCGGCGAGAGGCGGCGCCGGCGGCCGGAGTTGGAGCCATCTGCCCTGGCCTGCCACTCCGGCCATCGTGCAGCCGTTGGATCCTACCGAGTACAGACGTACAGTACGTCTCAGATTCATCCAGCAAATGGGGTATTGGGCCCATTCCAGAGGCACGCACGCACCGTAATTTCGGCCTATAAACTGGATCACAGTAGCCCGTCCGCGACTGATTCGAAGCCCAATTTTCCTTGTGCTGCACCTGCACGGCTCAGCTGGGCTCGGCCCATTACCTCCACTTTCGGCCCATTTACATTTTCCATTGATGCCGCAGGTTCAGAGACACCTGCAGCTGCGGATCGAAGCGCAGGGCAAGTACCTGCAGTCCGTGCTGGAGAAGGCGCAGGAGGCGCTGGCCAAGCAGAGCGTCCACCTCGACGGCGGCGAGACGCCGACGCAGCAGATGTCGGAGCTCATCTCGAGAGCCACGGCGACGAGGCGCGTCCAGGTCCAGCAGGAGCATCTCCACCATCACCAGCGTCACCTCGGCGGCGATGGGTCGGTGGACAGCTGCCTGACCGCGTGCGAGGGGTCCCAGTGCCAGAGGGAGAGGGAGAGGAGAGGGACCAGGACCTGCTGTCCATCGGCCTCTCGTCTGCTGCACCGCCTCACACTCCCAGCAGAGGCTACAACAACGACAGAGCCGGCGCCACCGCCAGCGCCATCTGCGAGGAGTTCCTGTTTCTTGACGAGCCCGGTAGGAGAGGAGGAGGAGGAGGAGGGGGGTCCTCGGATGACCATGACCAGCAGGAGCTGGACCTTAGCATCAACGGCAGGATCAATCCACCAAGGCCTCGCGACAGCCAAAGGATCGACCTGAACGGGTCGAGCTGGAACTGATGATCGTCGTTTAGCAATGAGTTGCAGACAGACAGGTCTTCTTCCTCGTAGCTTAATTAGCTGCAGTAGTGAAAACTGAAAACAGCAAGGTTCACAGATGTGCTGTGCTGTGCATTTCCATGCCCTGCAGCCATTTGCAGTAAGATCTGGGGTACTATCACCGACAGCCTGCGCGTTGTCGTCCATGCATGCATCCATGGCGGATGCATGGTGCAGCAAATAACTAAGCAGTGACTGATGAAGATGATGGATTGGCGGTGAAATTCAGTTTCTATGAGGGCATGCGAGAAAGAGAACCCAGATGTTCTCCTCTGCTGTCTGATTAGTTAACTCTGTAGATCGATGTGTATGATATATGCTACGTAGTACTTTTTTTTTTGGTCATATTCGCCGCCAAATATTTTTGCTTCAGCTTTACTCTACTTCTCAGCTATCGCTTCACCTGATATGATGGTGCCGAGCAAACCGTTGCTCCTGATGTGGAAGCATAAATGTGTTAATTAATCGCTAAAACATCGACATTTTATACTACCTCCATCCCAAAAAGAGTAATTATAAGTTTATGGTCCTGTTTGCTTTGCTGAAAAGCCATGGCTAAAAGTATTGTTCGTCGCTGAAATAGTATGGCTCATAAGACAAGCGAACATAACCTATATCGAGTTTAGAATTATAACTCTGAGTAAACATATTGATGATTAATCTAATGATACTAATTCAAATAATTAATGTTAGTTTTTTTATAGATTTGGTCAGACTTAAAACCGTTTGATTTCTGTAAAAAACGAGAATTGTATTTTTCTTTAAACCGAGAGATGAATCAGATGGTATTCTTGTTAGGATCAACGGCCGGTTTTAGCACTAGCGGACAATTGGAAAACGGTAATGTTTGGTTGAGAACGTTGGGACGCACAGATAAGCCGATTGATCTCGCGCATTACGCCCAAATAAAAAAGAGCGCGTAGTTACAGTCAAGCAAGGTCCGCACCCTGGGAGCGTGTGTGGCTACTTGTTTGGATGCATACTGTGGCGGGGGCCGTGCATGCGCGTGAGAGCACTGGCTGCCTCCTGCATTTGCTGCTGGCTGGACAAGCCGGCCAGGGCCCTAGCCGCATGCGCCCAGGGACGCAGGGCTCCCTGCCGTGCTTGCCCTCTACTGCCTAGCGACACAGGCCTGCTCTGCTTGTCGTGTTGCTCTTTCTCTCTCTGTGTGTGTTGTCTGTGCCCAGGCCAAGCTGCCCCTGCCACGTTGCTATTTTGGCCAACCTGGCTTAGGCGCTTAGCCAATGGCAGGGCTGGCCAGGCCACTTGCCTGTTTGTGAGAGGAGCGTGGGCCCACATCTGCATGGTAGTTGAGTGTTGGCCCAAATTTTTCCGTCACTCCATGTCATCTAGCTCCGTATGTTTCATGCGTTTCAAATGTATGTTTAACTGGATGTTGCATGCATTTTATCTAGATGTTATATATGTTGTAATAGTTATACTTGTATGTTGTAAGTGTATGTTTCAAATGTTTCAACTGTTTCAAATATATGTTGCAAGTGTTTTATCTTGATGTTGCTTATGTTGCAATGGCTATACACGTTTGTTGCAAGTGTATGTTTCAAAATATTCCAGCTATTTCAAATGTATGTTGTAAGTGTTTTATCTAGATGTTGCATATGTTGCACTGGCTATGCACGTATGTTGCAAACGTATGTTTGTAAATATTTCATTTGTTTTGGATGTATGTTGCGGGAAATGCTTTTATGTTGCAAGTGTTGCATGACGGAGGTGATCCTCTCATGCGTGCGGAAAGCGAAGCGGGTGTGGTGGCCCCCACTTGCATGCGTACTACAGCAGCAGGCGGAGCCAGGTCGGTAGGCGCGACAGCAGCAGCGTGGGGTGACAACAGCAACGCGCGGACAGGTGTGGCAACAGTGTGCAGGCGTGTGGGCAAGAGCTGCATGCATGCACTATGGGGCCCGACCAGGCAAAGTGGGAAGCGGAGGTGTGGTGCACGTGTCCCTTCCGTTGGCCGCATGCATCCAGGGAAGCACGTCTACTCCGTTTCCTGCCGCATGTAGAGGGAGCATGTCAAGCACGAGGACAGGCAGTAGACACGGACGTCTGGACGTCCGGACACTGGTCTTTCCCATTGGAAAAGGAAGCGTGACGGGCTGTCGCCGCAGTTGCATGCAGCTCCTCAGTTGCACCGTCCTGTAGCACACTGAGCTGTTGAGCTGCTGTCGCTGCAGCTGCAAACCGCAGCGAATGGAGCCATGAAGCTTGCAGGATTCGCCGTTGTCGCTGGGGTACAGAGAATATGTTACCTTTCATGCAATGGACCTTCGGCCAGTAGCTGTAACGTAGACAATATGACGATATATAGATTAAAAACAGTGCTAGGAGGGCTGTCGAAAAGCATTTAAATCTGAGCCCCCTCGCAGCAGCAACGGGGCACAAAAGGCTCCAAGATATGGACACCTGTAATACTCGAAAACAATTGTTTGGCCTGGAAAAACTGCATAATCCAAAAATGGCATTGTCAAATTAGTAGTCGTTGCAGAACTATCTATTTCTAGAAGGATTGGCTAATTAATTATGGAGCAACAATTTATTTTGGACTAAAAATTGAGTGGAAAGCATCTAATTGCATAACTCAAACAATTGTTTCACCATTTGAGGAGGTTTGATGAACTAAGTATGGACTAACAATCCATAGCGTAAGAAGAAAAATTGTAGTTTCAAGAATCCAACATATATGCAGCACAATATTTTAGGAAATAGTACTTGGCATGCGTGGACAAAAAAAATCTTGAACCCTAATTTTAGTAGGCTGATCTGCTTACCGGTAAGGAAATTCAAACTGACAACCATAGAAGATTTAACAAAGAACTGAAGCGAAGAGGAGAGTAGCGAGGCAGCACCTGCGTCGGTACTGCCTAGATTTGAGAAGCTGGGCTGGAGACCCATGGCCAGGAGCATGCTGCGCCAGGGGCACCCGCATCGCCGGCCACCGGGAGAGAGAGAGGGGGGGGGGTGAGATGCACGCGGAGCATGGCGGAGGGGGCAGCGTCAGCCGGTCCGCCATTGCGGGGCCGGCGCACTGCACTGAGCGATGCTGCTGGGCGGGCGCGCTGAGACCGCCAAGAGAGAGAGAGAGAGAGAGGAAGGGGAGAGTGGATGGAGTGGGCGAGACAATGCAGATATTTTGGCCGGGTGGATTGATCGGGCGAAGCAGCAGGAACGTGTGGTTGTGGTTTATCGGGCGACGTGGATAGGCTGGGTGAATTCGGGGTGACGTAGCCGGTGCAGCCGATCGCGGAGCAACGTCGGATTATAGGGGGAAATTGACACATGATTTTGCAAGAGGAAGGGTAGTGGGACAGTAGTGTCACCCTGTTCAGAGTCCAGACTTCTTCTCTGCTTTTCTTTTCCTTTTATAAGTTCATTCCAGACTTCAGATAGATGATGATGATTATGATTATCCAGAGGAAGCCCCTTTGGCAGGGTCTGTGATTCTCAAACAAAAAAAAAAGATGAAGCCAGGAAAAAACATGTTCTTATCGATTTCTGGCCAAAAATAGCTTTTGATTCACCCTTTTTTGTTTGCTTGATTTTAGGTTCAGAAGCCATTCTTGTGTCTCCAAGTTTTAAAGGACTTTTGATTAAATCAGTGAAGAAGTCCTAACAAAAATCCTGCCAAAGAAACCCTAAGTATAGTGAGTGAGTGAGTACTTACTGACGGCTACTACCTGTGTGTGTCTTGTACTGAGATGGATTCATCTTGGCCGTGCTCAAATCTAACTACTCCCACTAGAGTGGATTAGTTTATCTCACGCAGGCAGTAGACCAGTAGTACAAACTCCAAGACCACTCTTTTTTGCTCTCCTTGGAATGGTCTAGATCCTCTCATTTTCAGGAATGGACAAAGCTCGCGGTGGATGCACACGAATCCATGCTGCAACTTGCAGTTTTCCAAATCCGTGTTGCTGCCTTGGCCAGCTAGCTGTTGGCCCACCAGTCAGTACGCTGTTCCTCGGGCAACAGAACTGATGAAAATATCCAGCTCGCTGCCACTGTTGCTCCTGCTACCATAGCTAGCATGCTTCTTGTTGTTTGTGGCGGAATTGTTTTGTTTGTCCATGGTCATCTTCCCCTCACTAGTCGCTTTCTTATCACCTGTATTTGTTTGTGGCTACGTGCAAGAAAAAAAATGCAATCTTGTATATTTGTTTGTATATAAAAAAAGGTCATATTAAATAAACTCATTAGTCGTATTTTCATAACAAATTAATTTGAAACCATAAATATGAATATTATTTATTAGAAACTTGGTTAAACATGATCTACTTTATCTAGCACGCAACATGAGGGAAGGGTCAAATCAAATATAATTGATATTTCGAAGCATGATATTTCAACAGCACCCTCTTCTTTTCCTGTCTACGTAGCGCAATTAATTAACTGTTCTATTCTTGGTCACATTTCATCCACTGGTCTCTTTCTCACCCTTGTCATTCTGGGCATTCTTTCCCTGACACTTACAGTATAACTGTTCTATCTGAATTGATACTGGGCGTGACGGAAATAGTGACATTCTTACCAGCCGATAGCCTTTGGACATTCTTACCAGCTGAGCTACCACACTCTAATAAGTATTGGCAGGAAGGCACAAAAAACAAATACTGCTCCTATCTAAGTGAGAGAGGTCTTGCTATGCAAGTTTCTTTCAGAGAGCTTCAAGCTCGGAGGCCGCCAAATGGGCTCTAATGTTTGCACAAGCACAAATACTGCTCCTATCTAAATTTAGAATTTATGCAAGTTTTTTTCTTCAAGTGGCAATAAAACAACTTCAACCAGGTGTTTCTTCATAAATTCCTCCAACATTCCTCCAAACCATATACATTCCTCTACTTATATAAAAAAAGGTGGGCCCTCGGGGGGATTCTTATCTACGACGAAAAAGTGTAAGATGGGCCACTGTACTGCATCTGCATCTGCATCTGCATCTGCATGCA